TCATCCTGTGGGTCCCCAAGTATTTTGGCCTACAAATCCCAAAAATCCCAGCTAGTTTTCCAGCTGTTGGAATATCTGGGAGTTGAAGGCCAAAACATCACAGGTTGAGAACCACTGGCCTAGATAGTGTAAGTTTGGACCATGACTTGGAAATTTATTTCAAGGGTGCTTTTCTTTCCCTACAATGTGTTGTAAAAAACTCAAGAAATGTTCTTGCTTTAGTGCAACTCTTGAGACATCCAGTCATTGGTTATAAAGGCTATTTCCAATTTTCTTGGTATTACACTTCATTTTCTCATAGCTCTACAGTCCAAAAGTCATCTTATCTTATTTTTATGTTAAAGTGGTATTTGTAACCAAGGATTAATAATGGTGCTGTTGTACACATCAATATTATTTTAACATAAAGAAGATAATAATCAGGTAACAAACTCCACAATGAACTAAATATCATCATGTCTGTCCAGTCCTTCTTTTTCTCCCCTCCCACCACCTCTGGTCATCCTCCCTCCTGCTCCCCCAATTAATCCAATACTGCTGACTAAGGCTCCTTGTAATATTCTTGTAACCAGTTTGCTTCAGTTCCAATTCTATCTCATAAATACCTTTTAACTATTTCAGACCAGCTTTGTTTTTGGGCCTCCCAAAAGCTATGCGTCTAACAGCTTTGTAAAGAAATGCTTTGGCGCTGCATTGAGATGTAATGCTTATGCTTCTAACTGCTCTAAGATTTCAGTAGCTGCTTATTTATTCATAAGATGAGTCTGCCAACGTCAGTAAAGAAATAAACAAGATAATAGCCCTCCCAGAACTGAGCTTGGAGGTCATGTACGTTTCTGTTCCTAGCAGTAAGTACCAGGTGGGTTTAACTACTAATAACCCAGTGATTTTTTGTGTGTGTCTAAGGAGAGATAGATAAGCAATAGGTATTTTGTAAATCAGAGAAGAGTGAGATTTAACAGAAAACCAAAAGGTTTTACTTAAATATTATGGAAAACCTTTATCTGACTCAGAATTGTAAAGCTATTGCAGGCATGCAGTGTGCCTCGCCCATATAGGTACTGGCTTTGTAAAAAAAAGTAGAGGGTAATATCATATTTTATTCTGGGGAATTTCAGTGTTGAACAATTTCCAGAAAAGAGAGGGGAGAAAACTGGATGCTTAGTCTGTTTGTTTGTTTTTTCAAAAGAAAAAAATCTATGTTAAGAGAATTTAGGAAGAATTGAAAATGTTAGTCTGTGTCAAGTTCATCAACAGAAAGCAAACACACAATGCAAATATTCACATTTCAATGTATTATTCAAATACATCCTTTTGCAATGAGATTTTAGGTAATAATGTAGTGCATTCATAGTAAGCATTGCTATGTTTAAAACTGGTCATAGTATTCCCTTGGGTATTGCATACTAGATATTGTTTTCAAAATTTTCTCTGCATGTATGAATGTGATTTTAAAAATAGAGAAACCAATGGTTTCCAGATAGGTATAAATTTAATTCTATAATAAGAATAGAAAAGGAGATATAACTATCTTGTTTCTATGAAGTATTCCACATTTCCTATTGCCAGAAAACCAGAATAATTTACCGTATACAATCCTCTGAAGGTGACCAGAACCTCACATGGATATTGATCATTATTTCTTTATAATTGAATGACATACAGAGAATTTCTATATTATATTGTAATTTAAATTCTCTTTGAACACTGAACACTTCCCCCCATGACTAAAGATATAATGTAGCTTTGAAATTGTAGGGTAGTACAATGTTTTCATTCATTCAGTGATGTCTTGGCTGAAAATATTTTGACCTCCTTTTAAGTATATTTGTTTAACAAAACCCACCTCTCAATTAATGCAATTAATTCCCTCTGTGCATGAGACATTTTTGGAGAAAATTATCTAAAACTACCTTCTTGCTGATCATGAAAATCTACTTGTAATAGTAAAATTTTCAGTTCGTATTTCATTTTTCCTTGCATCAGTCTTCTGTGGCAAATTGTTTTTATCCTCATTAGATAGATTGACAACTGAGTCTTGCCTAGTGACTGACATAGAGCCATCCAGTTAATCCTTGACTAAACTGGTATTTAATCCATGTTTCTACTTATTAGACACTACAGCACCAACTTTAAATGTTCTGATTTTAAGCTGAGGAATAACTGTGCTTTGCATGAAGATTTGAGTATTTTCTTAGAAATATCTTTGCCCAACTGCTTAAAAGAAATTGTGATTAATGTGATTAAGGACCATAGTTTTATCTGGGGTACTTTTGTTTGGTATAAAGCTAATTTTGTGTTGTTTTTCTCATTTTTCCTCTCCATATAAATGTATATTTTTGCACACCAGTTCTTATAGGATGCCATCATAATATAACCTTATCTCAAGAAAAACCTAAGTAGAAATAATACTGTTTTCTAATACAGGTTGGATCTCTTTTCTGCAAAATAGCTAGGAGAAGACTTTTTGGATTTAGGATTTATTTTTTGAATACCTGAATTTGCATATTCATATTTTAATGAGGACCTTACTACCTCTGAGGATGCTTGCCATAGATGCAGGCAAAACGTCAGGAGAGAATTTCTCTAGAACATGACCATATAGCCCAAAAAACCCAACAACAACCCAGTGATTCTGGCCATGAAAGCTTTCGACAATACATTTAATGAGGAATACTTGAGAAAAGGGGCTAGTTACACATTCAGCTCCTGCAGTTCTCAAGGAAGTCTCACTCCACCACTATCAGAAATTTGGAGGTGGTAAAGATTCTGGTACTGCTGTCAGACTTAAAAACAGCCCTTGTATAAAGTGGATGTTGGGGATGGGGAAAAGAGAGAGAGAGTCTGTAAACACTCACTCATAGCATGTTGGAAAGCTCCTGCTGCCTGACTAATCCACATAGTGTTCTCCTTCCATCAGAGCAATGGGAATTGATGGTGGGTTGGGGACACTGGAAAAGTGGCACAAAGGGTGGTAGCAGTGTGGACTGGCTGTATAGCTGGCTCTTTCCAACATTCAACATACAAATATGGAGCAGGATACATTTGGACTTTACACTCCCCTCATATTCACTTTTAACAGGGATTTGGAATAAATCAAGCCATAGTACCAAGAGTCCTCAACCTGTATTCCAGTTGTAGGGCAAGAGCTGCTTGACAAAAACTTAGCCGGTGCTGGATGTGTAACTAGCCTCCTTTCCACAAGGGTGGAGGTAGTGGTGGCAGGAAAATTTTTTAGAGTCCTTCATATTACAGATTCCCAGAAAAGAGATACTCCATTTTTACAAACTAAATACGCTACATATCTGTGTTACTGTGAGATGCTTGAAAATTAAAACCTGAACTAGTGACTAGCATAAAAGAAAAGAACAATTATGTTCTGGAAATTAAATAGACATTTCCTTTTAACCCTCTTATGCCAAGCCCTCTTATGAATTGTAAATAAAATACAAGGAGCCTCCAGAGGTACAGAGATAACTTTCTAATAAGATATAACAAATTCATTAAATGCATGGAATGAAATATATTTCTCTGAGAGGGTTCAAGTGGGTACACAAGTGTGGCCTGACTTTTGAATGCACTTCCTGACTTTTGAATGCACTCTTGTGAGTTCCATGAACACTTATTTGGATAAAACTGCCATTATTATTCTACAAACATTTATTTATAAATTTAATTATAGCAAAATACAAGCAACACAACAATCCATCTTGACATGCTTAGACAAAGATGAACCATATCAGGGATGTTTCATCTAACAAGTTATATTTTAGCTCAATAAAACTTATATGTTGGTCTTCAGTTGGACTTAATGTAGAAGATAAATGACATAAAACATATATGCAAGCCTCCTTGAGTCCTCTTCAGGGTTGAGAAATGCAGGTTATAAATAGAATAAATAAATTAAGAAATAATAATAAAATACAAAAAGTCAGGCTTAGTTTATCATTTAATTAAAGTGTGTGGCCCATATGCCATTGTTAATCCTAGACAACATAGAAACTATTAATGATAACCAATAAGTTAACTCTTACTAGCTTGCTCTATCCTCAATATGACATTTAAAAAAAAAATTAAACATGGCTGCCATGTCTCCTCTTATCCTTCTCTTCTCCAAGTTAAACATACTGAGCTTCTGTAGCTACTCCTTATAAGGCTTAACTTTGTTGGTGTCTCAGTAAAGTAGCAAAAATCTATAAAGAGTTCACTGTATGCTTTTAATGTTTCTAGCAATAAGACAGTAATCTGTCAAAGCTAAGCAGTGTGTGTGCGTATCAACACCTATATTTTAGATTCCATGCATACCTTTGGCAGGGCTTATTGTAAAAAAAAAAAAGCATCAGTATACTGGAGTTGGCAATCAACAACAACAAAACTTTATTACAGTCACTGACCAGCACAAAATGGGGCACAGACGCCCTGGGAGGGGAAGGACAACTCCCCAGTGAAGCAGTTATTTAAAAGTAGATTAGAAGACAGTTAAAATTCACATTTTAAAACACAGGCATGGAACCGAATGGGAGATTGATAGGAGGGGTCAAAAACACTAGGGGGGCACTAAAGGGGAAGGTAGGGGCACATTGGTGTCAAAGCTAAGCAGTGTATTGATAGGATTCAAAGCCACATTTTCCCAGTTACTGCTGAGGTATACTTCAACTTAGTTGAAGCTCTTCCTATTAGCTTTATTCATAACCATACAAAGAAGTGGGAAATACAATGACTGGGAAATCTAAAGTTTGTTCTTCAATAATATATCTTTACCCTACAGAAGCATGCCCTACTGAAGAAGAAAACCTCATAAACAAGAAATTCAGTTGAATGAATTCAAATGAATTAAACCAGACATTCAAATAAACTGTTTAAAATGCATAATTATTTTTGAGGCTTCATGAGAATAAAGCATTGGATTGATTTTGATATAATAGTAGATAGTTAAATAGTCACAGCAGGATTTTAAAATATGTCATGTTTGTATTTTTTATTGTTGTTAATAATTGCAGCAAGACCAGCTTTATACTTGGGCTGCCGTCAACCAACCTACACATTCATCGGATTATATTGAAGGAAGATTTCCTGGAAGAATTCCATCAGCGTGGCCACCACCAAAGCCCCCAGACGAAGAACAGAGAATAAAAAATAAAGAACCAGGTAAGACCTTCAAGTGCTAATGGGATGTAGTACTTAGGTTGGATTTATTGTAAACACAATTAAAAACTGGATTAAAGCTGGGTTTTTCTGCAGTCAAGAGTCCACTTTTAGAATAACCCTTTCAAAATATCAGGAATCAGTGCCTTCTATGTACTACTATTCTTCACACGTTACAGCCAGCTGGTATTCCCAGGGATTGAATTTCAGGGTCCGAACTCTCTTGTCTCATTTTTTTTTAAAGGGAGAGTGGAAGAATTTTGAGCACAAGATCAGGACCTTGATACTAGTATATTTATACATTTTGATATATTTATTTATTTATGACATTTCTATCCTATCTTTCTCACAATGGAAGGGACTCAAGGCGACTTTACATACATTCAACAATTTGATGCCTTAAAACACAAGGTACACTTAAAGAAATATTAAATATTAAATTAAAAAGTACATTGAAAACAATGAAAACATTTTAAAACAATACATTTAGAGTTAAACACGTAATCCACGAGTGGTCATTGCACATTACTCCAAGTCAATCTGCTGCACAAGTTTTCTTAAGGCTTGGTCACAAAGCCATGTTTTCACTCTCTTGCAGAAGATCAGGAGAGAGGGGGTTGATCTAAATATTAGGGCTGGACGGTTTCATTTCGTAATTTCGTAATTCGTTAAAAATTCGTTATTTTTTTATAACGAAGCGATAACGAACCATTCAGGAGCATCTAAAAAACGAAACGAATTTTTTAAATTCGTTTCATAATTGCTTCGGATTCGTTTTGTATTCGTTTCGTTATCATTTTGAAATCGTTTCGTTATTATTTCCGCATGTCTGGGGCAAGTTTTATAGTTGTTGTTTGTTTAATCAGTGAAAAAAAATTATAAATATCACACCAACAGTCAACAACAGAGGGAGAGGGAAGCTTCAGAAGTTCCCCCTGTCCCATTTGGAGGTTTTTTAGCGTATTGCGCAGTTGCGTCCGCCATTAACGAATCGATTCATAATTGTTTCGTAATTGTTTCGTAATTGTTTTGTAATTTATGAAATTTCGTAAATATCGAACTTTTTAAAAGAAAAATTTCGGAATTCTTTTAAAAATCGAAACGCAAAAACCCCCAAAAAACGAATCGATTTTAGAAACAAATTTTTCCGTTGTTACCCAGGCCTACTAAATATGTATTTAGTCTTTTCTTAAACAATTAATTGTGTATTTCTTCCTCATTTCCAGTATTTAACCTCAGCTCATACGAGCAACTATTTTCCTATGATTTATAGTAATTATGGAACCATAGTAACTCCATGTTGATAAGTCAGATAAACCACATTCCATTTATAATCATTGATAATAATAATAATGATGATAATAATAATAATAATAATAATAATGATAATAATAATACATTTTAGATGTTACCCACCTCTATTCACAGCTCGAGGTAGGGTACAATGTAGTCACATATCAATATAAAATACATACAACGAAATCATAAATAGATCTGTAAAATCACAATGATTACAGAAATTGTATAGCATTGCATAATATATGGTAGCAGAAGAACAATACGCGTGTTGGCATTGATATTGTCAAATGACTTCACTGTACTGAATAAACCACAATTTTGGTGCAAAAACTATAAGTTGATGGATTCCAAATAGTTGACTGAGAAAGTATTAAAGCATACAATGTTAAAATGTTGTGCAATATTTATACTGTCAATAGAAACTTAGTTGGTTGGACTATATAGAGTGAGCTTGCATGAACCTAGCTGTATCACACACATGAAATTATTATACATGTTTAGGAAAATGTTGGCTGGCAACCTATTTGGTATCTGCAATGTCATAAGCTAGAATTACAACTTTTTAAATTTTGTTATTCACATTTACAATCATGCTACCATTGCCATGATCATAAACAGCCCCATAACCCTTCTTAAAATGAGTTGTGTAGAATTAGCAAGAGGTGTGCTGAAGGATGATGTGCCCCTCCCCCTTCCTGTTATGAACAACAGCAGAGCCCTCTGCATGGTCCTGTCATAGCTGCTGTTGAGAGGTGACAAGATGCATTATGCTTAATTACCTCTTTTGCCAGTGTAAAACACTCTCCTGTTTGGTGTAACTGCCTGGCTTTTAAGGTGGGTTTTAGGAAATTAGACTGGGAGATGGGTTATAGATTCTTGTCTCATGCAGTAGTTCAGCCTTTATATTAAAATGATGGAGAAGAGAACTGGATCTCTGTATCCCAACCCAAAACTCTATGTAACAGTCTTTTTTCTAATCATGCACATCTTTTCCACAAACCAGTATGCTGAAATTTAGTTTTAAAAATTCAGGAGTAAATCTTCAGTACATTAGCTAAATGTTTTAGCCTTGATTGTACTGTTGATGAGCATGCACTTTTAAAAATAGACTTGCTTATTCAAGAAGGTTTTATTACTCATTGCAATTCGGATAGTAAAATTAACTGTCAGTCCCAGTGCCTTTGTAACTTTATGGCATTTTTTATTACATGCATTCAAACAGAAAATAATCAAGGTGAGTAATCAAGTATATCATGAATTTAATTAATATAAACATTTGTGTGTAATGTTTATGTTGAAACAAGAATTAATCATATACTGCAACTTCCTGACAGCAAAAAGGCCTCTCTTGTGTCTCATAACTACCCAGGAAGGCCCCAAAACATAAAAGTAAAGGGTATGTTAGTGATTTTTTAGAACAGAAAATTGAGAGGAGTGCAGCAGGGAGAGACACTGCCCCAGAGACCCATAGGAGGACAACTTTATTGTTGTCTTTCTCTCCATCTCCAAGTTAGATCACTGACTCTTGTTTTGAGATAAGAAAGAAAGGAGAAGGTTGCACAGGAAAAAAATAAGCAAATGAATTACACCAAAGAACCTAACAAAGCTGCTTTTTGAACTGCAGTCTCCTAATGGTCATAATGGCTGGGAAATCATAAGAGCTGGATGTTGCTGAGAAGAAATCCAAAAAGTCCTGTGTGTGAAGCCAGAATAGTGACAAAAGGAGGATCAGAGAGCAATCAAAGGAAAACAGAAGAGTAATCACCCAGACTATATTTCTGGAGCCTATTTCAGATGTTCTGATGTTTTGGGGAACTAATGCACAGTGATGAAATTGGGATCAAAACTATTGCTTGCATAGGGTGAACTCACTCAATCCAAGGAACAAATAGGACACAATAAAATTGAGATAACAAAAGTCACAACTTGTTTATTAGTTACAACTGAAAACAAGGATTTGCAGCTAGGATTGAGTTTGGACCCGTTTTTAGCCATTTCCTTCAGGCAATCAGGCTTCTTCAGTTTGTTCAGGCATCCATACCAGCAAGGGCCCAGCCGTCATGGATTCTGATCTGTAACTGGACCACGTGGCAGCCGATCTCGGCTGCTCCTCCCCTATTCGGCATCACAGTTTAATCTTTTTGTTTTTCCTTTATTTTCTTGATTCTTTTTATTTAGTGGGACAGACTTGGGGATGTGCATGATGGGTGGGAGGCATGCACACACATGTTTGGGGGTTTGGCAAAGTCACCTTTTTAGCGTTTTTTCTGCTTTCCCTCCTCTCCTTCAAATACTTCTAAAAGATTATGATAAATATATAAATAAATAAATTCTAGCAAATAAAAAGAAAACCTTTATTCTCTGAAAAATACTAACACCTAGTTACTAGGCCTGGGCGGTTTCGTTCGTTAATTTCGTAATTCGTTAAATATTCGTTATTTTTAGCAATTACGAAACGATTACAAAACACATTTTCAAACCCGGAAGGGTTTTAAAATAACGAAACGGCATCCCCCATACTTTTAACGAGCTTCCGCCCGTTTCGTAAATGGGATGGAGGATGCTGGTGCCCTGGGAGCCAATCCGGCGCTCCCAAGCACCCAAGCAGTGCACCGTGGCTGTTTCTGATTGGCCGGCAAGCCCTTTAAAAGCGGCTCCGCGTCGGCCGTACAGCTCATTGTTGCAGAGGCGAGGGAGAAGAGAAGAGGTCCGGGAGGGTGGCTTGCATTGGGTTGGCTTGCAACTGGCTAAGCTTGGATTGGATTCATTCCTTGCTTATTCATTCCTTGCTTGGATTCATTCCTTGCTGATTATTATTTGCTTGGATTCTTTCCTTCCTTCTGTTTTTGTCAATTTGTTTGTTAATTTTCCTTTTTTGAATATTTTTTAAAAATACCTGTCTTTTATTCTTAAAAAAAAACAAAAATATTCTAAAAAAAGAAAAGACTCTTCTGTTGGTGTGTGCTCTCGTTTGCCCTGTCTCGTGGCTGTGTTTGGTCCACATCAGGGCCAGTTTTTGGTTAATTTTCCATTTTTAATATTTTTTAAAAATACCTGTCTTTTATTCTTAAAAAAATACAAAAAATATTCTAAAAAAGAAAAGACTCTTCTGTTGGTGTGTGCTCTCATTTGCCCTGTCTCCTGGCTGTGTTTGGTCCACATCAGGGCCAGTTTTTGGTTAATTTTCCATTTTTAAATATTTTTTAAAAATACCTGTCTTTTATTCTTAAAAAAATACAAAAAATATTCTAAAAAAGAAAAGACTCTTCTGTTGGTGTGTGCTCTCATTTGCCCTGTCTCGTGGCTGTGTTTGGTCCACATCAGGGCCAGTTTTTGGTTAATTTTCCATTTTTTTGAATATTTTCTAAAAATACCTGTCTTTTATTCTTAAAAAAATACAAAAAATATTCCAAAAAAAAAAGACTCTTCTGTTGTGTGTGCTCTCATTTGCCCTGTCTCGTGGCTGTGTTTGGTCCACATCAGGGCCAGTTTTTGGTTAAGTTTCCATTTTTGAATATTTTCTAAAAATACCTGTCTTTTATTCTTAAAAAAATACAAAAAATATTCTAAAAAACAAAAGAGTGGCTGTGTGTGCGTTTCTCATTTGTGTAGTTCCAACCAGTGCGCTCCTTTTGCCAACACAAAGTGCTATATAATACAGTGCTCGCTCATTAGTTGTGTAGTTCCAACCAGTGCGCTCCTTT